TCTAAAAAATCTGAATAAAAAGTTGCAAATAAGTGTGCAAATTTAATGAATTTTCCTGAGTTTTGCACAAAGTTTAGAGATTTTATTATTATGTTTTCTGGTGTAGAATGAACAATATTTTTACAAAAAATTATCGAAAATAAATTAGAATAAAGAACTTTGCATATATTGCGAAAAATTCACTGTGCCAATACTTCTGTTCGGCACTGTATGTACATACATATGTATGACTCACCTGAATAGATTTCTGGATTTCTTGTTGTTGTTACAACCATTGCTGTTTCCTTACTCATCTGTGTTTTTTGATACATCTGTGACGCGAATTGCTCCAAATTAGACTTTTAAGTACATTATGATAAATTATAGTTTTGAAATACATATGTAATTCAAGCGATTGCCTTAACCTGGAGAAACTAAAAAATTCGAAAACATATAATATTGGGAACAAATTTTGTCAATTCTTTAAAATATCCAAAACTTTTGAGTTTTTCGACAGTCTTGGCAGTTTAATGGGCCCCTTCCACATATGAATGACATATATTTATTTATGTATTTATGTCTATGTACATACATATGTATGTATAATGAACCACTGAAATTCCAAACACAGCTAAAAATCCAAACATAGTACTTTCAGTATGCCATTTTTGTCATAGCAGAAATAAATTTGTTGTTTTCTGTTCATTCAATTTACCGGAGACTAAATAGACGGTCTTTAGTTGGATATTAACGTTTAACGCACATATCCATACATAACGTATGTATTTAAATAAGTTTTAAGTTAGCACCACAAATACATTTACACTCCTACACGTAACTAACTCCAGCACTATTTTTTTATTTAAGAATTTATTTAAATACAGATATTTTCCTGGATATGTATGTACATACAGTGATGGCCACATAATTGGGTTTTTTTACAAGGTTTGACCATTTTTTCTTTATTTTGATTTTTTTTTTTTTTGTAATATTTATACCGCAACGAAACCTATGTAACTCAAAGTTTCAGGCCTTGTACAAGATTTATAAAAATACGATCATTTAAAAAATGGTCATCAAAATTAAAAATTTTTAATCAGAATTGCAGTTTTGTAGCTCATTCAATTTTAGTATGATATTGTGCAGGTGTCAAACGGTTAAGAACTCGCATTGATTTTTGAGATTTGTTTTGCTGACGGTGTTACGCATTTTCTTCCATACAAAGTATGAACATATCGTCGGTGCTACTGCAAAACAGTCTATATCTAATATTACCCTTGACACTTAGATGGTCTCTTACTTTCCCGGAATGCATCTGCAAATCGTTACACCCTAATAAACGAACTGTCTAACAGATACAGACAACAGATCAATTAAGCACTTGAGGTAATAAGTGACATAGAACGGTTTGCAGTATCACCGACGATATACAGTTCAACTGATAAGCACCGAAGTTCAAAATGATTTTGTTTGCAACTTATGTTTATTTATTTATTTTTAATAATTTTCATTTAAAATACTAATCTCTACTTATAAGTAAAATTTTCAAAGCTTGCACAAATTTCAAAAATATTAGTCTAACTTAAAAAAATTGTCATCAAAATTTCCAATTTTTTTATCAGAATATTTAGAAAATTTTCGGGTATGCAATCTTCCATATAACGCATGATCAAAATCAATTTTTATATGAAAAAAAAATCCGCAAGACCCTCCACAAAAAAAAATCTAAAAAATCAACGACTTGAATCTTGTACTTTATGTGACTTAATGGGCTACAAAACTGCATACCCGAAAATTTCCTAAATATTTGATTAATTTTTTTTAAATTTGTGTAAGCTTCGAAACTTTTAGTTATGTGAGTTCTGTTATAGATTAAATTATATTTTAAATGAAAATGATTAAAAATAAATAAATAAACATAACTTGCAAACAATGTCATATTTAATTTCGGTGCTAATTAGTTGAACGCAGGTGTATGTATATGTATGTGCATATGTATGTATGAATTGGAAAATATTTTTATATGGGAGAAAATGNCATACATTCCATACGAAATTCATAAATACCTATGTATGTATGTAAATATGTATGTATGTACACCCTGTATACTCGTATATGCAGTAAATTGCATTACATTATCCACAATTTAAATGATCTTCGTGTACCTACTTATAATTGCATATGTACATGCACATACTCATATACTGATGTACATACATATGTCCATTTTTCGTATCTACATACATATACACATATATATTTATACATACATACATATATACGTACATATTTTGATAATAATAGCGAATACTCGAACAATGTTGAATACCAAATTCGATTATGTCTCCGGCTAAAAATTATAAAAAGTTCGGCCTTATTGAGGAAATTTAATGGATAGCAATTCCATAGATACAAATTAGGCAAACATTTTTTCATACAAAAATTGGCACTATTGATCTTAAACGGAAAGAAACGGACTGGTGATGCAAGTAAAACCCAACACATTTAAAATTGTGTATTTGTGCATACATAATGTACGATATTTATAAGTAAAAAATAAAGACAGAGCAGAGAACAGCGCGACTAACAGAACTTGCATTGAGCACAAATAATGCGAAAAGAGCTAACACTCTCTTCAAGTATGCAAAAATCAACACCTACTTACAGCTCCACAAGCTCCTCTGCCATAGAACTGGGACATGACTGTCAAATACAGCAAGGGATTGAGAAGTCCATATTAAAAATACTAAATATTCTTTATACAATTTTTCAGATAGCGGAAGAAAATTCTTTATAAATTGGTTTTCATTTCTGAAATCCGACCATAGTTAGTTCAACATTTAGTCCTTAGTAGTGAAAAGAGAATACATATGTATGCAACTTTGCATTTTGAGAATGAATTGAAAACATATCGCTTAATTACTTCAATAGTATTTCATAATCCAAAAAGTACAAATATTATGTTGTGTCCGAATTTCAAAGCTGTGCCGATTACCAGTATCTCGCTATGTGCCATCTAACTCTGTTGTTTTTGTCACTAGCACCTTCAAATTTTTATCGCAGGTGCATTTTAATATATCCTACTAAAATCTGTGAAAACGCAGTTTCGACAAAAAAGTGTTGGTTAGGGCCTTTGTGAAGTGATGTACTGCTGGAGTCAATCGCTACTTTTGAACCGCTACTGCACCGTCTCCTAGGTAAGTAGCTAGTGCAGAGTCGAACCAGTCGTGTAAGCAGAATAGCGAAAGACTGCGAAAGAGGGCGCCCATAAATCACGCAAGTAACTACTTTAGTAACTCCCGATGTGGACTACCGCCTAGACCTTGCCTTGTAAAAGTAATCGCTGAAATACACTGCAAGTAGTCGGTCGGTAATCGACGAAGTTTACCATGTAGCTACCGATTCATTAGTCCTGTAGTCGCTCCCCCATACTGCAGGGTAGTTACTACAATAAAACAAACTCCTGAAGCAAATACCTGAGTTAATTTATTTCCATTTTATTCCAAAATATTGGATGCAAATAATTCGAATGGGTAAGCAAGTAATAATTAAGTACCAGGTTGACTGAGTTTTGCTTGGAGTGCATATACTTTTTAAAGTTTTCTAGGTTTGGGTATCAAATACTGGTAATTTGGATAGATTAAAAAAGTTGTAATCGTAACAGATAATGCTTTAAAACGCCATAGTACTTGTTTTTAACAATATTTTGGTATAAATAAAATATAGTTCATAAAAAATAGAAGCGTTATTCATTTTAACATGAGTGTACACAGAAGCCATAAATTATTTTATATTTATGACAGATTTGGATAGCAATATTGAGATGGTTCAATCTTCAAAAAAAACAAAATTAATGTTTTTTCAAACTGTGGAAAAGTACCACTATCTAAGGAATGCATCTATATTTTTCTCGTTGCTTAAATTAATTTTTTCAACTTCGCAAAACCTTTGAAAGACTAATAATTCGCTAAAAAGAATATCTAACTCTATGTCTTGTATGCAAAGCTCTTTTTCAATGTTAGTAAATTTTGAAAAAAGAATTGCAAGCTGTAGGCAAAAGCCATTAGACTATTAAAATGTGCAGTTATTAAACAGAAAAATATTTTCTAGATAACTAACAACACTCGACAAAAAACGTCATCCTTCTTCTTAAATAATTTAAGCTTCATCATATTATCGCAACTGGTACGTAACGTCACGGCGATGTGCCCATAAAGCGATTGATCTTTTTGTTGTATTATTTTCTTGGACATATCAAATATTTTTTGAAACATGTCAACTATAATTAAATTATTTTCTGCCTACTTTTTATAGTGAATGTTGAGCAAGTTCCAACGTTATGTAAAAACCTTAAGAAAATCCTAATGTATTTTGTTTGAGTTGAAAATTCAGTACAAATCAGTACAAATTTTGAAAAATCAGGACATTAGCGTACTGATTGAGGAAATAAATAAAATCAGTACAAGAGTTAAAAAATCGGTACGGTACTGATAAAATCAGTACATCTGGCAACCGTAACTATGCCCGGCAGCTCCGCATACCTTTGTGAGTCCATTGCCATAGCGCGCTCTTACTCCGCTGCTATAACTGCAAATACATCAGAATCCATAATTTTCCTCTAAATATTTAAAATCAATCAATTTTGCTATAAACAAGCACATGATGAGTGTTTTTTTTTTAATTCCTTTCCACTTTGTTTTCCTTCATACAGCTGAGTTCGAAAAACAACTGATACCTGGCAATGCTGCACATTTTTCCGCAAGGGTTGCAGCATGTCGATTTTTCGTAACGTAGCTACGAATTACGAATTACGAAAATTCGGGTTCTAGAATAAGGGTGTTAGTGTAAAGCAAAAATCGCCTGGTGTGAATGGCCTTTCAACTAATCGCTTCCAATGAAGTTGGGGTGCAGCCAACTTTTGATTCAACTAATCGCCTCTAAAATTTCCTGGAAAATCGCCTCATGCGAACACCATCTTTTTCAACTATGTATGTATGTACATATTATGTATCTACGTATCAGACAGAGGTATTTATAGCGGCCTCAAGAGAACGCACAATAACACAAAAACTTAAAAGCTACATATGTATGTATGTATGTATGTAGGAATGTGTTTTTGAACTGAATCCCGTAAAAGACAATGAACAATTTTTGAACACCAGCGACAAATTCATACACTCTCCTTATATGATTTGACATGATTCTGATGTATCCGTGGTACAGTTGACCAATATCAGTATTTATTTAATGTCCCATCTAACAGTATCGAGCATCGGTAAAATTCGAAATCTATAACAAAACAGTTTCGATAAGGTTTCAACTTAGTTACTTTGAGTTTCGTAATATTTCCGCTGTAGTTAAATCACTGTGCTTGGCTGATGAAACTAAGAATTAATGCCATAATTCTGCCTTGTCTGTATTGTTACGCCTAAAAGCAAACCACTGATCTCTTGAACAAGCACTTTTTAGGAAAAGAACTTTACATATCTTTGGCAACATAAAAACCAGACCAAACAAAGCTGTTTGAGATGCATACATACATATATATGTATGTATGTAACTCTTTACCTCTTTCATGACCAAAGGAAACGACAGTAACAACAATAGTGGGGACAACGATCGCGGCGGCACTCAACAAGTTGGCTTTTCTAATTTTAACATCGTACACATTTTCGTTTTCCGTTGAGAAAAGCAAAACGATTCCTGAGCACTAAATGCCAAGCTAAAATATATGAGAACACCGTAATACAAAGCTGTGAACGAATATGTTATAGCTGAATCAGTCGAAGAAGCAATCACAATTGCGATCGAGATGAGAACATGCACTCGCTCAGTAGCTTGGCAGTGACAAAAAAAGTATTTAAATACATTGTAGATATGTGTGTATATACATATGTACAATATGTATGTTTATTAAAGATTCAGTTGCCTTGGTGGGACGTCCATCTAAGGTGGATTTTCGGAAAATTCTTTAATCATATTAGTTGCGTTTTGGATGTCACCATGATCACGCGTGTGTAAGCTTTTGCTGAATGTCTGCCGATAACAGATACATCATTAAGGGAAGCAAACCAAAAGGAAACGGAAAAGGAAATTGCTGCGAGTCAAAGGTGAATCACATCGCAGTCATCAAAAAAACGTTGCTCGAAATATTGCAAAGTTCGCTCTCTTAGGGAGGGATATGCTAAGTTTTATACCAGAGATGTGTATGATATGCAAATATGATTCCAATAAACACGTGTTATCCGCAATAGTTATTTATTGTGTTCGTCAACTAATACCTCATCGATAAAATCCGTTTATCACAACTGATCGCCACCTACATGCATACATATGTACCTACATATTATCCAAGCATAGTAAAGAATGTTAAGATTCAATGTGTAAAAATACTTGTATACCGTATATGGTAATTTTCGCATAAAGGGAATCAAATTTCATACTAAAGGCACAAACAACATTTGAAAATTTCGTGAAAAACGCGCACGAGAAAAGTGCACGGATACATGCATACATACATACATACATACATACATAGAAAAGTAGAGAGTATAAAACAAGAGCGCGACACGAATATTGCCGATAAAAATCCAAAAAAAGCATAAGGCAAAATATACATACATACATATACATACATGTAAATAAAAATAAATTCGAAATTTGAATTGACTCTCCGAGTGAAAACTACATACAAGAGTGCAAGCGATTGATCACTTCGTTTGTATGCGAAACGAGATCGCCGGGAAATAGACGGCGCCATATTCTTACCTCGAGTGATAAGAACAACCGGTGTTTGATCAAACATTTGGTTAAAATGTTACCAGAACTCACGTTTACCGGTAATTATGGGTGCTTAGCAGTGTATTCTCGCATTTGCTTATATTTAATATTTTTAAATCCTTTTTTTTCACTGAAATATCGAAGTAACCCCCCTCGATTGCTCAATTTAATTTTTTATATTGTTGAATGTGTGAAATTGTATGTTAAAGTTAACTAAATATGTATATATAACAATGTGTTTTGGTTCAAGTGAGAGTTCCTACATAGATATATATGTATACATACAGTATCGGTCATATCTATAGCACGCCATTTTCAAGTGATATTATGTGCCCCTTATGTTTACTTATTTATTTTTAAGAATTATCAATTAAAATTTAGTTCATTCTCAGAAAAACCTCATATATACCCAAGTTCAACAATTTGTAGAAAACTACAAAAAAGTGTAACAAATTTTCACCTAAATTTGAAACTTTTTTCCCGGAAGTGTTAGAATTTTTTTGAGTACACAGTTTTTTAGCCCCTGCAATTTTAGTCTGATAAGGTGCAAATTTCTAGTGGCTACGAATTACCGTTAATTTTTTAGAATTTCTTTTGTCGCATTGGCTTCCATATAATGAATAAACTTAATTTATTTGTATGTATGTATATGGAAGAAAACCGCAACACCTTTGGCGAAAAAAATTCTAAAAAATCAACGGTAACTTTTAGCCACTTGAAACTTGCACATTATCAGACTAAAATTGATTGGGCTATAAAACTGTGTATTCAGAAAAATTCAAACACTTCCGAGAAAAAATTTAGGAGAAAATTGTTTGCACTTTTTTGTAGTTTTCTACAAATTTTTAAATTTCGGTTTATATGGGTACGAATGGCAATTATAATAGGGAGGTTTTAGTTTTTTAATCTATAATTTTATTGTAGGGTAACTTATTATTTTTTATCCAAAGTCAAACCTTCTAAAGTTACTGAAGTTGATTTATGAAAATGCCACAGATATGTATGTATGTATATGTACATATATGTATGTACATATATGATGTGCTTGCAAAAACATTTTTTGGTCTAAACATGAAATATGAAAAATATCGAGATTTAATATAATATTTGCTAACATAACAAACGCGATATATAAACTAAAAGTTAATTTATCAACCACAAAGTTTCGAATGCTAGCAGCGTAAATTAATTACACACATACATACATACATAAATATGTATTAATTTAGTTATTTTATTTACCACCTTTTTTTCAGCTGTTGATAGCATGCATGAGGGCTCGTCCGATGACTTCGATTTATTGAATGGCGTAAACTCCACTTACGAAAAAGGCATGTGTCTAGCCATCCATCGAGTGACCCCGAACACATCGTCTATTGTGCCGGGGGGTCAACAACCAATGCCGGCAACTGAAAATTACGCCAATAATTATATCGCCAGTGTAGTACCTACAACTGTTCTCAATAGCATTAAAATCGCGGACGCTGGTTCTACTGATTTATTTCCAACTCATCCCACAACATGGCAACAACATCCAATGAATCGTCAGGAACTCGCACATCATCGATTGCAAAACCACCAACATAGCCACCAGCATCGACATGTTGATCGGCACCAACATCGTTTAGATTTAATCACTAGCAAAATATTATTGCAAAGCTCCGATGACCCTCTAATATGTCGTGGGGCCAACAGTGTTGTGGGTGGGGATGATGATCACCCACTGATCGTAGCAGCATCTCAAAATGCTGAAAATAATCTAAATGATCAGGGAGGCACTATTCAAACGAATTCCTCTTCATCCGTTTCATCAAAAGCTAATTTGCGCCCCCTGCCGTCTATGGGAAAATCCACGCAGCTATCCGTGAAGGTGCCACTAAACGGATGTAGCTCATTGACGAAGCAACAACTTAAAGTTAAGGCCGGTCTAATGAGTGCTCAGAACCGTGCAGCCAACGAGCTTAAGAGAAGCATCCAGCAAACTCACAGTACGGCTAGTGACTTGCAGAAAAATCATAAATCGAATGACCCGAAGCTTACCAAAAATAAGGGTGTTTTAAAACTGCGTTTCCATCATCAAGCTTTGCCGCCCGAGTATTTAAGTCACTATGAAGCTACACAAGCCAAGTTTTCCCGGCGCGATAAAGATATAAAAGCTACTACGTCAGAAGATATTCCCAAAGCTAAAACCTTTCATCCTTCCAAATTGCCGCCACCGAAGAGTTCACACGAAAATGTTCGTAGCTGGTTGCAAAAGATTGCTGCGATCCATCGATCGGCTCAGCAGTCGGAGAGCAAGCAAGGCGAAGAGGTAGTTGGTCAGCAACAAAAGAAATCGAAAAACGATAGCAATAACAATTATCAGGCCAGCCGGATGCAAACGTCAAGCCTAGAACTGCCGGATGAGTCCGTCGTAAGAAATGAGCCACATGCCACATCAAAGCAGGTTTACAATACTGAAAAATTTGAGCGGGTGAAATCTTCCAGATGTAAATTTGTGCCAAATCCTGTGGTTAAGGTCTCACCTCCAGTTTTGTCAGATGTCCCCAAAAAAGTTATTAACTACGCGGACCTGCCGTATATGGGCGAAATAACTCTTGATCATTCGAAGCCACGACGTGGACGAAAGCCAAAAAAGGCAGACATATGTCATCTTATATACAAAAATTATGGAACCATATTCCCTGGCACGCCCAAAAGCGTACTTACCACACCGCATGCAACAATCGGGTGTGGTCAAAGACCACCAGAATCCGAAATTTTTGATGAACTGCCATTAAATCTTTGCATGCGGGATCAACTATGTGACCACTTGTCGATCTCAAGCGAAGATAGTGATTGTGTAAGCGACCCGTCGGATGGCAACTCACCTAGCAAGGAACTAATCGAAAGTGTGAAATTACTTAAAACAGATTTAGATAGCCTTTTAGATCTGAAATCGAATTCAGTTAAAGTCGAACCAAAAGATGAAACTCGCAATTCAGATCCTACAAGCCTATCTTTGACAAACTTACAATCGCCCAAATCAGCAGAACATAATGTACTGCTGCATCCTGTGAGTCTGTATTACCAAAAATTGCTCTCTGGCACCTTAGTGAACCAACATAGTCAACCATTTGGTCTACCTGTTGAGACCATAGAAAAAGACAATCAACTAACGCTTAAAATACCTATACCAAATGGTTTGCTGCAAACGCCCAAGTCAGAGAAGCTTACTCCGCTTCTAAACGTTGACAATCCAATGATCGATTATCCTGATCTCTTGTCCACGCCATCATCGATTAAATCGGAAAACTCGAATATGACAACAACCACAGCAGTGAGTGCCACAACTGCTACTACAATGAATCCTAGTCATCAACAAATCACACCGCCGAAACGTAAACGATCTGCTATTTTTATACCACCCATTCCATCTGAAAACGCAACAAATCCAGCCACAGAAGTGAGCATATGTAAATTTAAATTCACAGGCGGTGCTAAGCCCACTTTAGAGGAAAAGAAAATGCTCTCTGTCGATTCGGGTGGTAACTACAGATACTACAGTGGCACGGGTGATAAATCGACACGGGGTTATGAATTTTTTCCTCGTGAAAGCCTTCAGAATTCTGCTGGTTTCTTGCCGGGCGTAAATTGTGCGGCGACGTTTTCGCACGCGGCTAGCGAGTGCTTAACAAGTGACATACCGCCACCCTCAGCAGATCTCAGTAACGAAATTCTGCAAATTCCTGAATCGCCGACTGCGACGTTGTTACCAGGCTCTGTAACACTGCCAGAGCCTTCATCACCATCGCCCTTATCCAGGCCAATTTCTTCATTTTCTGGCTCTCCAGCATTGGCAACACAACAGAAGTCACATAACCTTCAAACAACACTGAGTTCAAAGAGCGGGAACGTTATGTCTACCGGAAGTGTTTCTTCCAGAATTATTCTCGCCAAGGACCATTTCACGAATGCTCTCTTTGAACCATCTAGCTCATATCATTCAATACAGAGAAAAAAGAAATCTAGACGATCATCTCAACGTGAGAAACTAGAAAGAACGTTTAAGGAAAAAGGATTTCTCATCCAAACGCAGCAACTCGAATCGGCTGAGGGTGCAACATATTGCAAGTTTCGCCAGTTGAAAAAGTTCACACGCTATTTATTTCGCAATTGGAAAGACTACCTACCAGAGGAGGTGCATCGAGCAAATGCGGCAGAGAATGTGGAGGTGATGCACCAACCCATCACTGAAGAAGATGTCAAAAACGAAGCAAATACACAACACAATTTCACTGAGCAACTCGGCGTCGAAAGTTTACTGCAACGTCATGGGTTTTTGGTAACTAGTAGAGTATGTCCACAAAATGCGGACCGACCGAGTGCAATTAGTAGCGTGGTTGAGAATGTTGTACTCGAGCAAAACTCATTGGATAATACTGTGCAAGCATAGTTAAAGAGCTTATAAATGACTGAACAAAATAGTTTTGCTTATTAGATGTGGATAAGAATATTTCAATCGAATAAATAACACTGCCAAAGATTGATTAGAAATTAAGCGTCCCCTATAAATTAAATAATAATTTACATATCTATTTTATATTTGTTATTTTGTTAATATTTATAGTCATAAACAAGAAAAATATATACATATGTATCTAGGTTATTGTAAAAAGTTTATAAAACTAAACTAGTCAATGAAACGCTTTAATATCTGTATAAAATTTTGTTGAAAATCCCAGTTGAATGCGAATTTGCAACACATGCATACGTATGTGTGTGTGTGTATAGATTTTGAGGCAAATATTGCAATCAGATTTCCAACAAATGGCTTGGAGCGCTAAGTACTACATACATACATATAATGAATGCATACTTAAAACAATGCTCAACATTTATTTGAAATATATGTATGTACTATATGTATTTTATGCCAATAGGGGTTTTCTCTGAGTCTTGCAAAGCCCTTGCACGGTGGACGGATTGCACGGTTTACAAAGCTGTCGCATACGAAAACCGGTTTTTATCGTGCAATCTGTAAACCGTGCAAGGGCTTTGTAAGACTCAGAGAATAGCCGCAATGTTTTTTTTTTTATTTATTTATGGTGCACATGTTCTCGTAATTAAGGATCAAACATTCATAGATATATTCCCAATGCAAAAAAAAATGCTCTGAAGGTGGGGCTAAGCTGGTTAAATATCTTTTACAGCTTAGGTACGAATAAAAAAATAAACCTGACGATTTTGCTACAATCTCCATGTGATAAATATGAGCACATCATAATACCACAATAAATATATAATCGGTTTAATATCGATATTATTTAAGGGCTTCTAAAATTTTTATTAATTAATATTGATATAAGAAATGTATGTATGTATGTATATGTACATAAATATAAAGGTATACCTATCTCATCCTAATATAATTATTTTGTAAATACATACATAAGTCGTTAGTTCAAGGGTTTCTTTAATCTTTTTGAAAGATCAGACAGTAATAAATGCCAATTTGGGCCACATTTTATGCTGAATACTATATTTTCAACTTAATTTTTAGCTTTCCACTGTACTTTATTGCATAAGTATATGTACTTACATGCATGCTATACATAAATGGTATGCATACATACATATGTTCTACATTCTGCAAAATTTATTTGGAAGACACTTTAAGATTTAAATGCCTGTACAAAGAAGTTTGCATGAATCTTTTGTTTGTTCGGTAAACATTGCAATGGTCCTGAAAATGCAACAGTCAAATAATTTAATTTTCTATAAGCCTCATAGTGATCTATGAAATAAAGCACTGGAAATAGTAACTTTAAAAAAATTACATATGCATGTGTGATTTGCATAACCAATAGCAATCAAGATAATGTTTTCGACTATTGTTACTTTCTTTAAATAAATTGTCAAAATAAGGGTCAAAAAGTGAGTTAAAACAGAATTATAGCGGGTGAGTCTGGAAAAGTACTAATAAATCGTAGACCCCGTAAATTTCACTGTTAAAGTATATAAGTAAAAAAAAAAATTATAATTTAGTAAATTTTGTCTGATAAACTACTTCAAATTAATATTTAAATAGTACATACGCAATATGTATTTGAGTTACTGGGTTTTACTCCCGATATTTCCTTCTTTTGTGTTATTTGTATTTCCGGCAAAAGATAACGCAGCCCCTGAACTACTCGAGTCGCTAGTGGAAAGTGACTTATCTTGATTGTTGCTGCTAAGGCACAAGGACATCATGGGACATACGTAATCAGTCCAGTCTACATCACCACATCCTTTGTAGCTTTTCCTGCGTTTCAGTGAGAACTGTGTCTTCTTTGGCGGTTTTAGTTTAGATGTTATTGTTAATGGTAGATATCCAGGAGCTGATTCAACGTCACGTTTATTTTGTATGACATCTCGACCCAGAAGTTCTTTGAAATGTGTGGCCAGATGGCTGTAAACGGAAATATTCGACTGTGACATATGTACGTACAGCCCGCGACGAAACGGTAGCACCTCAACATTTTGATCAGTTTGGACTATTTACCTTTTGTATGTTTAATATTCATAACTTTTATATAAAAGTATAGCTACCAAAACCATATTAATCCAAAATTTCAAACTTTGTACAAAAATCCACAAACTTTTCATCCCAATTCCAAATATTTTAATTAGAATTTCTACAATAATTTTTGGTATGCAGATTTATGCCTTATTAAATTTTAGTAGCTGGCGGTATAACGCGCTTTCTTCTATATAAAGTAATTTTTTATTTAATTTTTAATTTTATTGAGCTACAAAACTGCATACCAAAAATTATTCTATAAATGTTTATAATTTTTAAAATGTTTGTACACAAGTTTAATCTAAGATTTATACGGTTTTTGTTAGTTAATGATCCATAAAAAATTTCGTATCTTAAAAAAGCCAAAGAAAAATTGTCAAAATGATGGGTGATATCTTTTGCCGGGGGCTGTATGTATGTATACTAATTTTATATATTTTCTTCAGGGCTGCAAATAACTTCAATTGTCGATTTTGTACGGTTCAGTTGTTCGTACCACTAAGGTTAATCTAGCACCGGTACAATAACTGATCCGTAAATACCTGTGAAACATTTCGTGCATAGAGAGCTTAAAAACGCCAATGCAGAAAAGTTCCGGGTACCGAAGCGGTCTGGCAGGAATGTTAAAAGGAGTCCTCTTAAGGAGTGCGGGACAGTCTATGATAACACCACAAACGATATCGAAGATGAAGAACAAAGACAAGATTGTTCTCCTACTCTACAGGGATTTTAGATTTATCAGTAGGCATCTCGATTCATAGGTGGGAAGAGGGTCCGAGAAGCATAAGCTATGAAGCGCAAAGCGTAAAAATACCTTCTGTATACATTCGATCCTTGTAATTTGACACGTAAAGTACGGTGACCAGAGCAAGGATGCGTGTTTAAGTCTAGAACGAACAAATGTCATTTATAACAGTTTCGATGTATAGGGATCGGTGAATTCAGAGCTATGACACCGAACAAAAGCAAGCACAGCATGCGATTTAGAGACAACAAAACTAATATGACTAGTGAATGTAAACTTGAGAGTCAAAAATCACTCCGATGTCTTTTATTGCATGCACACGTTAGAGGGGTGATAAAGATATGTGGTAGGAAGTCTGAATAACATTACTACATTTAGCAAAGGTAACATGAATGCATTTATTTATATTCAGCAAGAGTCGATTTTTGTTGCACCAGCTGCGGACGTTATCAATATCGATTTGCATCAATTGAGAGTCACAAGGGTTACTAATAGAAGTATAGATCTTAAGATCATCAGCATAGAGTAGAAACTTTGACGAAGACAGTGGACCCAGGATACTGCCCTGTGGGACTCCTGAGCTTACGACGAAAGGTAGGGACCTGACATTGTCAACGGCAACAATGCAGCAGCGATTCCGTAAGTAGGAAGCAATCCAAGTCAACAAAACTGACTGAAAGCCAATGGAAGCTAGCTTTTTTAATAGGATAACGTGGGAAACCCTATCGAAGGCCTTAGAGAAGTCAGTATAAACAATGTCAACCTGAACCCCAGTTTGAAAATCAGCTATACAATCGTCTGAGAATACTGTCAAATTGGATACAGTGGAGCGACACGGAATGAAGTCATGCTGCTCCGTACATACTACATTCTTAACGGCAGGTAAAATTTTTCCTTGGATAATGCATTCAAAATGTTTAGACGTTTCCGACAGCTTAGAGGTCTATAATTACTGACGTCGCTTTTATTATCGCTCTTGAAGACCGGAGTGATAAAAGCTAATTTCAAATCGTCTATAAAGACGCCCGACGACAAGGATTTGTTCAAAATTTTCAATATAGGATAGACTAAAGAATCGCACTGCTTAAACAAAACTACAGACAAATCATCATCGTCGGTTTGTGCAGAGAGCACGTTCTCAGAAGACAACGTTAAGTTGCAGAAATCTAAAGATTGTTGAATGTTAAAAGAAACAAAGTGCATTGGACGTAGTTTCTGTGCAAGAACTTGTCCAAACATACGAATTTCTTAGCAAATTGTTTGTAAAGGCTGAAGTAAACGTTATTATTGGTTTTTTTAAACTTGCGAAGATACCTGTTTCTCTTATTTCGGAGTTTCATCTGGTTTGCGTTGTGCCAGGGCACTTTATATTGCTACTTTGTTAAGACTGGAACAATACTTTTACAAATGGCGACTACACTGGATCTAAAGATATCAAAACATTCAGAGGCATCACAGTGGTTTAACAACTAGGGGAACATGATGAGTATCAGGCTTAGATATAGAAAAAATGACATTCATACACGGAGAAAGTTACAGTTTTACTTAGGAAAATTAAATGCAAAACCCGACCAAGCTTATTTTAAAAACCATTAACTTGCATAAGATCGATACTTAAAAAGCTAGCCACTAGGTAAGTTTCACTATGACTATTTACATCACAAGCAATAAGAGACGATTTGGAAATGGTAACAAGTAACATTAAAACAACAAAACACAAATGATTATCACCAGCTTTACACCAAGCAAGAGAAGTTATATTGTCGACGTGAGCTGCGTAAAGACGATGGCTACTATTCGGTGGTATATACGAAGCACATACTAAGAGGGAGTCGGAAATACCACTAACTCAGATCTTGAGAAGGCTTTACTACATTTTCCGCAAAAGTTCTCCATTACAAAATAATAGAAAACGAAATAACAGAGCGAATAAAAGCACGTCTGCACACAACGAACACTAACTCCGTAGTAACCTCGCAAAACAAAAATAAGTTACAGGCCGCTTGAGCCAAAAGCCGTTATTCATCAAAAGCTAGCATTATTCGTATAATCGGATATCCGACCTGCTATTCGGGTATACGGATAAAAGCCTACTATTCGGCGAATTCGGACATCCGCTTAATAATATTAACTTAATATATATCCGGATATTCGAAGATACAGAATCTTAGAATTGCAAAATAATCCTTTTATGATAACTCAGTAATACGCAAACTATTTTTATCTTATTGCTGAATTTTAGATTCCGATATTCGGATATCTGTACATTATTGGGATATCCGAATAGAGCACACTATTCATATATCGGAATATTCGGATTTTTAATTCAGAACTCCCAGCCCTGGTATGCTGTTCGGTTCAGTCCTGGCAATTTAAATTAGAAATATTGCTGTTCGTGGCTACGTTTATGACCGGTTTGCAGCCCTGATTTTAATTTTGACATAATAATGTTGGTTAGAAATTCTTGCTCAACCCTAAATTTTGTATGTAAATTAATTTGTTCTTACCGACGTAATAAAGTTTTACTCGGAGGAATACTGAGCAAATCAGCCAGTAAGTCTGCTGTGAAACGAGGCTCATATAGCATTAATGCGCCATGGACACCAGCACCGCGTAGATTGGGGGCGTATTCGGATAAATCAGCCACTCTAAGCC